GAACCCGTGTAACTGTTGTAAGGGAGAAGGAATAATAGTTACAACAGTGGTCCTGACAAATGCAGCGCAAGCGAAGTGTTTTCCGCTCTCAATTGCCGATCACGTATGAACGCAGCTACACATAAGATCTTGAACCTCACTTGAGCCTTGAGCCAAATGGCAATCAATGGAACCTTGTAAGCAACACAAACACGGACCTCAGAACTGCTTCCCAATTTAGGCACGGGGCCAGGAGGGTTTTAACAAGAACAGTTCATGGGCATGCAGTTTGGTTGCCAGCGTTCCTCGGAACGGTTCCTAGTCCTAGGTAAAAGGCCAGGCCGGCATCGGAACATCGAAAGCGATCCGAAATCTCAAAGCACAAAAAGGCAAAGAATTGTCTGAAATTTACTCGAAGGCAAAGAACTGTCTGAAATTTACGCGAAAACTTACGCAAACATTTACGCAGGAAAAGGCTGGCTGAACCGCTCTGAACCGTTCAGGGGACACATTTTGAGCACGGAGGTCCGTCCGCAGAACTTGCGTGCACATGTGACAGCATCGGTCGCTCCTCTTTTCCGGCCTTTGCTCAACTGGATTTCTGGGCTCGGTTCTTGGCTTCCCTGGGTCTTGCGGACTAACGAGGCGAAGCCGCGGCAGAGAAAAAAAAACATTTCCCGACAGTACCACAACGCGGCAAGCAAAGCTGCAAGAAGGCAAGGCTTGAAATCGTCCTTTGCAACTCCTGACTGGTTGGATCAGTGGCCACGCGGACACAACCGCGTGAAGAGTCGTGCGCGCATGTGCGTTTGTGTGTGTAGGTGGTGTCTGTGTGTCTGTGCGCCAGGTGCATGTTAGGAATATAGACGTTCATTTTGATGTTCTTCAAGATTGGCCCTCGCAAGGTCGCCCAACAACAAGCTGACTAAGTCTTGATTGTTGGAAAGAGCCCTCAAATATTCTTAATGTTGTTCACGCAGCTGACATAACCAATGGCCGGACATACCGGACGTTCTATGACAAGACGCAGTGTTCCTAGTCCTCGGTTCCTACAGCATCTCCTTTCTCATGATCACTAAACACACATGTCTCTTGGTGGGGGTTTTGGCTGCCGGGTGTTAGCGTGGCAACGCAACCCAAGCGCAAGCAAGGGCACACGTGCTTTTGCGTCCGGAGCTTTTTGGCTTTGCCAACGACACACATCACATGCTCGCGGGCAAAAAAACATGTGGCTCGCAGCTACCAGTATGCGTGAACATTCATGTCAAAGATGTCGCGGCTCTTCCAATGGTTCATGACTCATGATGCTTCGCCTTCCTTATGTGATATGAGCAGGTGAAATTCGCGAAGGGGAAGGTTCTCGTCAATACATGTCCCTGTCCATGAGGGACACTAAGTCCAGCTCACGCATGGTCACTCAAGATCGGGCAAGCGAAAATGAATTACAACTATTTACGCGTAAGTACTTTACCTCACTATTTACCATATTATGGACGGACTATTATGGACGGACTCTTTCTATTAAGGGCCAGGCCAACCAGAAAGCTTGATTTATTTACGTGACTGTTTACGCTTTTATTTTCGGGTACGGCGAAAACGACAGACCCCCCTATTTATAGAGGCTAAGTTTTGGTTTAAGGTTTCTGTGTTTAGAGCTATTTTAAGTCACAGCCAGCATGCAATGTCCAAGAAACCAAGCCAGCACTGGCCACGCCAAGGGCAGCGCGGTGAAAACGACACTCCTCCCGGGCCTCCTGGCTGGCCTAGGGCAACCCCAGCTCTATTTGCCCAACACACCATGCAAACAGCACGTTGGCCTGATTCCAAATTCAGTATGAGGTTCAAACTATCGAGTGGTTAGCTAAATGGTTTTGAAAGAGAAACAATTTCCAGCTTGTGTGGGAGGTGTGTTTGCGATGACGCGATGACACCTGCATTGAGCAAAGCCAATCACAAATCGCATCCTGCCGCCAGCTCCTCTCAAGGAACAGGCACAAAAGGATCTAAGGCCAGCTGTTAAGCACTTTTGGCCTCTCACCTCACCCATCTTCGCCGCTTACACAGTGAAGGCACAGACCGAATCGCAAGGCACTCAGTATCTCTCTCGTGTCTCTCCCTGCCTGCACCTGACCAGCCGGACTTCGCCCCACAGGCGTAGCCATTGTGGACCGCCTTGCCGGTCGCAGAACTGGGTCAAAGCAGAGCTCCTGGACACCAAACAGTTTTCAGCATGCGCTCTTTGGCCCGGGGAGGAAGTGTGTTGCCCGAGCTGCCCATACCGCACCTGATGTGACCTGATAGGTTGTGCCCCAATTAAACATTGCTTTTTGCGAGGCGCAACAAAACTGTGGCTCTGCGGAGTGGCTTCGCTGGGCTTTGCGGACGTTTGTCCCACAAACATCTCTGACGTCCGGATTCCCATTTCTGATGGCATCACGGGGGCCCGCTTCGCCCATGTCAATGTTGCTGGCTACGTGACCGGCCTCGCGGGGCACGCGGTGTATCACGCAAGTGCCCTTTAAGCTCTTGCAAACCCATCATCTGAACAAATACTTCGCTTCCAACAATCCTCTGAGAAATTTGCTTGGCTGCCATATGGGCGCCAGAAAACCAATCCAACTGCGCGCGGGGCCCACGCATGCTGCAAACTGATGCGGTGGCAAAGAAAATCACCCAATAGACCGGATAAGTCAGAAAACTGTCTATTCGACAAATTTGCGGATTCGGTCTATTTCATGTTTGCCTACGGGCAACTCTTGCGACTATTAGTTAGAACTTGTTCTGTCTATTCGGTAGTTTTTTTTCGGTTGTTTTTCGGGCGTGGAAATAGTCTAATTAGGCTAAACGAATTCTGCCTAGTAGGCAGAATGTTCGGTCTAATTCATGTTTTTAGACAAACCCCAAAACCCGAAGTTTCCTCGAAACTTCTTGCAAACTGCTGGTGGCTCAGAATAGAAAAGCCGCAGTTTTAGACACGCCAAACCCGCAATTGCCCCGTACTTTCCTTGAAGTTTTCCTACAGCTTGCGAGTGGCTTTAAAAGCAACATTTTGGGCGATCGGCCAGCCAGTTCGCAAAAATGGAGTGCCGGGCAGCTTGTTGCGCCCAGGCGAACTTACCCAGCCAAGGTAAATCACAAGCAGAAAGCCGAACTTTTCTCGTTGTTTGCCCGCAATTTTGCCACACTTTGCGTAGACCAATTTCCATGAATTCGGTCTATTCTATTTAGTCTAAACCGCATCTTTCGACATGTCGATTCTGTTTCGAAAACCTGTCGATTCGGTAGATTGTTTTCTGCCGATTCGGTAGATTTGTTTGAACTATTAGTTTAATTTCGGGGCTACGTTTTCGACAGTTTTGTCGTTCTACACGGATTTTGTCTTAAACCATGAGTTAGATCTAATTCAATGATTTCGGGGTTCGGCCGTTTTTTGTCTAACCTGGTCTATTGGGCAGTCAAACCAAAATGAAACCAAGGCAGCGTTGACCTTCATCCGGGGCCTGCAACTCTTCGAGGAAGCAAGGACACATGATTTCCAACCCCAAGATCCAACTACATGGGCTGATAGCTGGTGAAAACCAGCTGAGCGTGTCGGTCAAAGGACCACAAAAAATCTAAGCGCTCAATCAGGAGCTTGTCTGCGCAAAGGCATGCAAAAACAAATTTGACGGCGTCGGGCGAAGGCCTGCCCGTCATAGTCTCCTCCCGAGAACGTCGTCGCGACGCCTTTGCCGCGGGCGCTGCGCGCGACGCATTTGTCAGGGAGGGGAAAATAGTTCTCAAGCAAGGGAAGGGCTTCTCAGACAGTGTCCGAAGTACTGCGTTATTTCCAAAGAACTGCGCCCACGAAATCTGCACACCTAGCTCGAAAGACGCGCGCCTGGACATTTGCACGCCTATGAGTGCCACGAAACCTGCACTAAAGCTCCAAAGCGCTGCATCTGAAAACAATCTGCGCAAAATTGCTGTCGGCGCTACGCCAAGGGCCACGCCTCAGTATTTGGACTGTCACAGCTGGCGACTCAAGCTTCGAACGCTGCGCGCAGCTGTCATGTAGCGATCGGGTGTCGCTTGACATGTACCAACCCCTAAGCTAGCAACCTATCGGGTGTTAAAAAGATGCTACTCGATTTGCCACCAGGGCATTTAGAACGCCAGCCTAGCCCAAACCAAGGGCCTGCGTGCCACCAAGCAAGTTGTACACAACCCATGCCAAATACAAAAGCCCAAACAATACTTGACTCTGGCTCTAAGCTAGCTTCTACTAGCCTGTGTTTTACAAAAAATCAGACCACCAAACGACTCAAAATGGTGTGGACATCAGCGAGGGCTTGTTTTCCCGTGGTGAAGGAAGGACTTCCCACAATCGGTCACATGGAGGCGTTTGCTTGCGTGCGTTTTGGATATGTTCCTCCTTTCTGCGAACATGGGTAGATCTTTCCGGGACATGGTGTGACCAACAACCTTGGGGAAGCAACATCACAGCAACGTTGATCATCCCAAAGTGGCGCTGCCAGCCGCATGTCAGATTGCGAATTCAAAGCTCGCAACTCTCGTGTTAGCACAACAGTTAGCCAGGTCATGAACCCATGAAAACACATTCGCAACCCTTCAGCCTTGCAACATGTTGTTGCAACAGTGTAGACGTGTCTGTCCTCAAAGCAAGGCATGCCATTGTTTCACGGGGTGGTTATAGCTTTGCACGCTTAGGTCATGTCAAATGTAAAGAATTACGTCATATTTGCCCAGAGCTTTTTCAAGACTCCCTGCAACTTTGTTCCAGGGTCCCCAAAGTATGAGCGGTAGCAAGTGTGCCCAAACTCGTCGCCGTCAAAGGTGCCGTCCAAGAGCCGCGACAACCACGCGAAAAAGACCCAGGTTCGGTCCTGAGGACATTTGCGAGACGAAACGAAGAGCGCGGCGCCCTCTGCGCCTGAAACCAAAAAAGGAACACCAAAGCAGCCCCAGCTGGACGTCCAAGAGCCTTCACGCTTAAGCTTGAGCTGCATCAGCGGCCGCGCCTATCTGAGGTATGCCCTTGCCTTTTGCGGCCACGGCCTCGCAAAGAAGAAATGCACCATCTTGACAGGCCCCGCACGGATCAAACATGATGTTCAGCACTGCATTGAAGGCAAACAAAGTTCCAGAAGCCACGACACGTTGCTTTAACTATTGTGTTTTGGCTACACAGGGTTTTCGCACACCGCTCCGCGCTGAAGTTCCTGTGGTGCCCAAGTAGTTTGGTTGACTTTGGCACATCACTGGCCGAGCCTCTTTTCGTCTTTTTGACTGGGTGCCAGACGTGATGTTTTTTTCAGTTTTTTTGCCCACACAACCGCCAAACTTGTAACCTACCTGCCTACCTACCTACTTAGCAAGCATGGGGAGCAAAAAATTAGCTGCACTGCTTGCGCTTCGCCCTCGGCGAATCGTTGATGTTCTTTTGCCGCTCCAGAAACTGGAGTTAAAGAAATGTAGAGACTCCCGCCAGTGGCCGGGCCAGGGCACGACAGCCCAAAACCTGGAGTGGCTGGGCCAGCAGGCTAAGGCCAGAGAATGCATAGAGCGCGCAAAGCAAGATTGCCGTCACATTTTGCCAGCTTCTGCCAGCTTCTGCCTCAAGCACTTGTGCTTTGCTTGCTTCCATAGAGCAGCCGCCGACAAGCTTCACAGAGTAGTGCTGAGCACGCTCGCAGGCAGGACAATATCGGGTTGCAATGTTTTGGGGGCTACGCGTAAAAGCAGGCAGGCAAGGGCGCACGGACTCGTGTGTCAAAAGCAGGCTCTGTCAGGAAGAGGTTTGGGCCTGCAAAACAAGTTGAGAGACCGTCCCTTGCAAAACGAAAAAGGTTTGACCCATTTAGCGGGCTGCCTCCGTGCACCATCCCTGTTGGCAATGCTTCGTGAAGTGGTTGCAAGTATGCCCCACCTCTCGTGCCAGTCTGCGATTGCGTGGCGACGCCAATGGATCGTGGCCTGTCGCAGCGCTTGGCATATTTAAATGCAGTCTCAACCCCGCTCTTGGGAGGAATGGCATCCGCACCTGGATCTCGAAGATCGTGAAGAGATGCAGCTTTCCACCAAGACTGACGCAAAGAAAATCGAACATGCTTAGCGGCAGTGCGCAGCCGCGCCTCCCGCGTTCGCGGTGACACGAGCTCCTCACTGATCCTCACTAGCAGTGCCGCACACCGATGCGAGTCTAACACAACTCGGCAAGGCAAGCAAAGCTGTGCAGCACAACACAAAACGCTGACATACGCTGACAGAACCATCATGCTCCTCGCGCCCTGGCCAAATGAGACCCTCATCCCTCAACATTTGTTCCCTTCCCGACACGCCAGCTGGGCCCAGCGACTCACTCGGAAGCTTTACCTGCCGACCATGAGCAAATCAGGACTATCAGAAATCCTGACGATTCTTCCCCTCCTAAGTACGAAGTAATGTAGTTAGTTGCAGGGCCCGTGGGCTTCGTGAGCAACCTAGGTCAGCGCATCCGCATTCCTCGCTTTTCCGCACGCACGTTGCATTGGCCGGCCTTGCCTCGTTCAATGCACCCAGGCAGCTCTTGCAGCTGTTGCACAGGTTCGAAAAAGAGTTCTTGGGGCCAGAGCAAGTGAGCGGCCTGGAAGTTAAGGGAACAAACACGTCGGAGGCAGGGGAGTGAACACATGATCGAGCAAACACATGATCGTCATTGCATTGGCACAAGTGCAACTGGCATCACAGGGCAACCTCATTGAGGGCACCGTGCATGTCTCTTCGTGAATCCCTTGCCATGAGGCTGCCTGCCGCCCAAGGAGCTCACAGCAGGCAGGGCATGTCTGGGAACTCTGCTCGCAGCTCAGCGCCATTGGCAAAGAGGCGGCCCTGGCGTACCATTGGCAAGTGGAAAGCCAGGCATCAGGCAATGCCAGTGCGAACGCAGGCCTGGTACACAATCACTTTGGTGGGGTACAGGCCCTTCTTGTACCGAGCATTGATCCGATCGATCCACCTAACCAGCAGTTGGTGTGACTAATGTCAACATGACCCTTGCGCTTGGCTTCAACAACTAAGCATCAACAGAACCAGCATCCACACAACTACCTAAAATTGAAGCTGAGACATGAAGCCTGGCAGTCTCCTTGGGGTCCTTGGCATTGTGAGCTGTGAAGTGCGCCTTGGCTCAGGACACAGGAGCAGCATAGCGGAGCTGAGTCGCAGTGGTTTCAATCGAACTCCTAGGGCTCTGGTCTGGTGACTGCTGTATGTGACTGCAACCCCCAAGTCCCCCCCTTCAGATTTTTGAAGCTTACTGAGTGCCCTCTATGCCCTCAAAGGGCCATAGGGTGGAGACTGTGACCGAACCTCAAATTCAGCACCTGGCCTTTGCGGCTCCCTTGGGATAGAAGCGGCTGTCGGCCATGATGTTGGCACAGCCCGTGCCACGTGGACATCGAGAACCCATGCTGGGCTCGTACTTGATGAACCTGCCGGTGAAGGGTCCTTCACTTCCCCTTGCAGGAGGGGGATTACGTGTGAGCTAAGTGCTCTGTCTGGGGCCCGGGGTCAATCAGCCAAGGTGCTCCTCGAACTCAGTCCGATCCTTGGTCCAAATCAATTGGGCTATGGCATTTGGAAAAGGCCCCGTACGATTAGGAACACCAATCCAGAATCCAGCAGAAAGAGGGCACACCAGCCAGATGTTATGATATGTTGTTGTGTGAGTGTGCGCACGCGTCTCTACATGCGCATCTGTCTGTATATGATTTCATGTGCGTGGGTATGTTCTGTGCATCCATTTCTTTGTGCGTGCGTGTGCTTGTTCCGTTTGTGTACCTAAGATCTCCACTTCTTGTTGCAAACGCAGCTGGGCCAGTGATTTGTTTTCTTTCCAGGGAGCTCAAATGAGGGTGTCCAAGCAAAAGCGCAAACAACATCATGGTGCCCAAAGTGCAATTTTACTATGCGATAGGGCTGGCAAATAGATATGTTCAAGCCAGAAAGGGAGGGTGATCCGAGTTGAGTGCTGAATTTCCGATCTGTCCTTTTTGAATGAGATGTTTGCAATGATGAATGGCTGTCTCAGATTTGAGCTTAGGATATGACAATCGGCAACTTGAAAGGGGGACGAAAGCTGGCACCCAGTAAACATCACCCTTTGAGGTAATCCTATGATTGGGGCTTCTGTTGTCGTGTTTCAAAGGGGTAACCAAGGACGCCTCAAAGGGCTTAGGGTAATGTTGACCTTGGAGTCATCCTGTGGATATTGATGGGGATGCTTGCCCTCGGGCAGAAATCCAGCCTCCGGACCATGCTCTGAAACCTGATTGCAAAAGGAGCAGATGTAGCGTCTATTCAATGTTTATTCCAGCTGTCCATGCTACGACTGTGGTGAAAGTGTCAAGGCAAAAGGACAGCAGGTTTCGAGCCATGTAGGGCATTGAGCACTAAAAACAAAAACGTTAAGCTCAAGGCACTTGCTCTCTTCACATGATTGCACAATGCACACACGAGTCTTGGAGAATTGCAGTGCTGGAACCTTCAAAGCTCCCAAGTTGCATGATGTTGCATGCATAAAGTCGCACTTTCCAAGTGATCCTGTGCTGCTGCCAATGCAGCCTGCTAAATGTTCAAGGTTGCCAACTCTTGGGCCTATGAGTCAACGCCCCACGATCGTACAGGAATGTGCATTGCCTTTGGCGAGGGCGCAAGCTTCAGTTTCTACAACCAAACTCCATTGCCCACATGCTTTCCAGCACAACACGGCCGCAGCATTTCACCAGCCCAGGCGCATTGTCGAATTTGCACCATTGCTTGGTCACCTGGCTGCACTTTATTTCAATGATGGGTCCGCTATGGGCCGCTCAGGTCGTCTCAGCTCCAACTGGTCACCAGAATTCATTGCGGCAAGAATGGGATTGCAAGAGCTATAACTGAGTTCTTCAGAATGGGCGTGATCCGTAGTGGGATACGGCATGCCTTGTCCTCCCAAGCTGCCACGTTCAGCATGTCCTCGTCCTCATCTAAATTGGTACACGAAACCACTGAAAATGAATGAGACTATGCCAACTCAGCGAGGCTGATCGCATTCAAGAACCAAGCGCGGCCCATCACGCCAGATGGATCCTCGCCCGCCGCAGCACTTGTGGCCTGAGAATTACTTGCTACGACGTGCAACGAGCAATGGTGCTTTCAACGCGTGTGCAAATGGCTTGGAAGCAGCGTGCAGCAAAGTTGCTACGCTTGGTTTCTCAGTGAGACGCGAACTACACAGATTACCTGGCGCGATCTTCGCCCGCGTCACTCTCGCGCGTTGCAGTGCCCCGAGTCATCGGAAATTGAGCGGTAGAGGGCAGTCAATTGAGATTATGCAGCAAATGCGCGGGCTACACGGGCGATGCACTGGCGATATGCGAAAGCTTGGCGAATGCCTGCGTGCGGAAAGCCAACTTTGAACCTATGTTTTGCACCGCGCATTAGCAGCAGAAGCCCACATTGCGCAGTGCCCACACATGGCTGGAATGTGCAACTTTTTTCCGGAAATCCAAGGCACCCGTGATTAGGCCTCTCCTTGCACAATGACTGGATCTGCCCCCGAAACAAGCTGTCTGAACGCCGAAGTAGTCCTTTAATGAAGCTTGCGCGGACTGAATCTTCGTAACGCTCTAGCGAGCTTTCACAATGAAGGGACTTCATTTCGCAGATTTGAGTTAAGGAACCCTTTGTGGAATTTCATGAGCGTTTTGGGCGCTGCTCAACGTTTGGATACGACGCATCATTGAACAAATTGTTGAGCAGATTGCCCAAACACGGCAACAAACGAGGACCGATGACGGAGCCGAATCACATGGACGACAATGTCAAGGAAAGGGTTCAGCAAGCGAGAATGGGCTGTTCTTGTTTCTGCGCAGTAAGCGAGCGACCCTATGCGCCACCCCCGGCGGCTGTCATCTAGTTCCACCTGGGGCGCGGCCCTTTTGCAACCTTGAGGACAAGCATGCCTCCAAGAGGAAACGAAACCTACACTAGGCTCGGGACCCCGGAGGGGTCGGGGGGATACAATAAACAGGTAGCTACAAAACCCTGCACCCGTTACCGTACGTCCCCGTCAGGTCCTCAGGTATGTCTGCCACGCGGAGTGGGCCCTTGCCAGGAGCCTCCCTGAGCTGCTCGTCCCGGAAGTGGCGGCGCAGCCACTTGCCTAGCAGACAGAACTGCCTCACGCCGGCTGATTGGCAACGTCAATGCTAGAACAAACCACCTACCAAGCGCAGGGTGTTGCCCATGTGGTTCTATAACCCGAACATGTTCAAGGAAGGCGCTTTGGAAATGGACAACGCTTCACAATCAAACCCACGCATGTATCCAAAGTAAGTTTTTGGAGCTTCCGCGAAAAGCAGGCAAATAAGCTGGCAAATCAACTGGAAGACGCGAGGGCCGCGGAATAGAAGCGTGGCCTGCACGTGAATCTGGCTCCTCCGTCTCAGAAACCCATTGATTGGCATTTGCTGCAGCCTTTCGTGGGTTCAACTCTGGAAATCCTCAGTCCATTTTTCCCGAGTTTCGCTTTGCCCGTTCAACCCTTTCCAGACTTCCAAGCGGTCAGTCTTTAAAACAATCAGGACGTCAGAGAAAACCACTTCGCAGCGGCCAAAATCTGCTCTCAACTTTCTGTGCTGGTGGCTTCCGTCCACAGCGCAGGTGGGCTAGTGTAAAACTAATTTCCAGAAATGGCTTTGGTACAGATTTGTATTTAGCATTGTCACACAAGAATGGATGTATAAAAGAGAGGACGTGATGTGTCTGAGCTTGAACCTGGCGTGCTTGAGAGCGTGCGTCGGCAACTCACACAGATGAACTGGTGCTCTATGTGACTCATCTGGCCAGCTAACTAGCTAGTTCGCTATCCAGCTACCTAGCCAGCTACCTAGCCAGCTAACTAGTTAGCTAACTAGCCAATTTGAAAACTAGCTGTCTAGCAAATTGACTTCCTGAAAAGCTAGCTAGCTCACTGTGCTGAATAGCGAATCGGCTAGCAAACTGGATGGCTTGCTGGGCCGCTATGCAGCTGCCAGGAAAGTAGCTAGCTGACCCACCTTTCGAACTAGCTAACAACTGAGTCAACTGAGTCAACTGAGTCATCTGAGCCAACTGAGTCAACTGAGTCAACTGACTGACTGACTGACTGACTGACTGACTGACTGACTGACTGACTGACTGACTGACTGACTGACTGACTGACTGACTGACTGAGCTAGCTAGCTAGCTAGCTAGCTAGCTAGCTAGCTAGCTAGCAAATTTGTTAAGCAGCTAACTAGCTAACTTGCCTTCAGACGTGCACTTCAACAAACACACGCTGAAAAAAGGCACGCAAGCATACCTCGCCTGTGCATTGAAATGGAAACACCTCCCATCACTTTTTGAAACTTCCGCCCCCGCCCCCCTACTCATGTTCGCCAACTTTGCTGGTAATACAAGTGCGGAAAATACAAAGACCTGCTGAAGGACTCAGGGGAACCTGACCTGAGACAAAGTGGAAGGAGCAAGGGTACCACTGACAACTCTCCTGGGCCAAGCTTCCAAACCACGGCAACGCCCAGTAGGTCCAGGTCGGGTGTGCGTGGCTCCAGCGCATGGAGTGCAGCTTGCATTTGGGGGGATCCTGGCAGAATCGACCTTGGTGAAGCATCCGGCAAGATTGTGTGCAAGCATTGTTTCAAGATGATTGAGGTAGGAGAAGGTATGCCGGGTATGTGTCCATCCAGACAGCATCCCACACCTTTTCCTACCTCAAACTGTTGAACACACACACACACATGCATGTTCTGAAGTGCCTTCATGGATACATCAGCACCCACTCAATGCTGCTGTTTTTGCAAGGTTGACACGTGCTTTGAGAATCCAATAGGCAGTGAACAAGCACCTTGTCCAGAATGAATGCAATACAGGACAATTTGCCCGAGCCGGTGACGCCACCAAATATTGGAAGGCGCATCCTTCTGGGTGAAGCCTGGGAAGCGAATGGAGCCGGAACGATGGTCACTTCGGGCAACCTGTAAAATTGGGGGACACCAATATGCAGGGCCAGCAGCTAAAGTAGTGAACTGGCAGGATTGGAATTGGGTAGTCTTCGGTGACTTCCCTTGCTGTCATGTTGAACATGTAGTCCACTCCTGCCGGAGCTAGCAGCCAAAGAGCTAAGCCCAAGCTTGGCTTCACATCCCTTCCATTACCAACTCTCTGGAGCCAGCTACTGTCTGGAATCTGAAAGTCTCGGAAAACGGCAGTTGTAATTACTTGCCACGCTTATTCGGGATATGGCTTGGGTTGACTGACTTTTTAGGGTATGCGAACAAATACTGCGGTCAGGTACATCTATTCAGAATCGCCGTTTCTTCGTGGTCGGTCTTGCTTGCTGAAAGGTCAGCTTGCGAGCTCCTGGTGCCACAAACTGATCGGAGTCCAGCTCGACACCCACAAGCACGCGGGAAAGCAAGAAGCTGCGGATCTTGTTGTAGTTGAAGCCTAGGCGACTAGCCTTTAAAACCAACATGAGTGATCATGACGGGAAAAATCGCCAGGAAGCGGGGGGAGCATCAAAGCAAGGGAAACAAAGTCAAAAGAGCAAGAAACCCCAAGCGCGTGCCAGAGGCAGCGCCCTGAACAAATAATGGAGGATTAGTGATTATTGGTCCATGTGCGGTTCAGGGGGATTTCCAACCCTTGGATTCCGCGGCTACGCACCTTTTTTTCATGTGCCTTGAGCCAGTTGCAGTTGCATTCGGCAAGTCAATCCATGCAACCCTCAAACCTACCAAACAAACCTACTCTACAAGCATGACCCTTTAATATGCCAATGGGGCTTAGGGGTCGTGTTTTCTTGACTACTAAGCCCCCAAATAAAAAAAAGGCGGTAAACGAAACTGCGAAGAAGCATGCACCCAGCTCTGCTCCTCCTACATAGCCGCTACTTTGCCCTGCTGCCATCTACAACACTCCTACCACATCGGCTGATCCAAACATTTATGCTTGTTGTGAGTTCCTTTTTCGCACTGGCAGAAGTGTCCTAAGGCATTGTGCCAAGCCTCGCAACTTGGCCAAAGCATCCATGGCCCAAGATGCAGCAAAGCGTCTCTTCTGAACCTTCGGCCCCAGCGGCGCGAGGTGGTAAAGCAGCAGCCGAGGAAAGCGCTCCGGTGTCCAGCTCGCCTCAAACCGTCCCAGCGGCCATCGGCAAAGGCAGATGCCTATGTGGCTTTTGCCTGTGGGAGGTGTGAAGGAGGTATAAGGAGAATTCCGAACTTGGCAAAAGGATTCGGGGCTATGGGGAGCCGCTGGGGGCTTCACGGGCTCGGAATCTGAATTGCTACCTTCGCCAGAGTTGGGGTGGCTTCGCAGCTTTGGCCTAGCCAATTAGTTACCTTTAGCCTCCCCCAGAGACCTCCAGCTTGGTCCGAATGGCTGGTGTCAGGCTGCCAAGATGAAAGACGATGATGGGCTGCTTGGAGAATAAGTGAACCGAGCGGATGAGCTCATCACCTCGTGCCAAGCTTTTGCGGCAAAGGTTGCCCTTTAGAGCTATTGGGCCACCAAACAACACACGTTCAAGTCCATGCGCAATACTATCAGTGTGGCGCGCACCTACCTCTAGCATGTTCCCTGCAAGCACCTCCCCTCAGTCCATAAGACTGCCCAAGTGAGGTCAAGCCCTATTATTGCAGCTGAGGCCACTCATCATAGCATGCTTCCCATCGGGCGCCCCTGCGTAGTAGTTCACCTCATGCCAGCATGACCTAGCGTCCCTTGATAATACTTTCAATCTCATGTTTGCTTGCCCCCTGCGAGGCCAGGTTGCAAAGGCTTCAGGGATCCAGTCATTGTGGTCCTCACATGTGCCAGCAAAACCGCACGCCGTCATGTTGTTTCTTGCACTGCAAAGATGTCCGTGCGTGACGCGAATTTCACGTCTTTCTGCGTGCGCAAAAGGGAGTTCGTCAACAAGATATTGATTTTAGGCTTGGTTGCTGTTAACCCCCCTGCAAAAAGTTTCACTTGGAAAACACCTTTATTTCCCAAAAAGTTTAAGTCTAAAGATCCCACCCATGAGCAATCAAGTAGGCAAGACATAGACCAGATTGATATAGTTTGACCGCCTGGGGTGCAACCGCGCGTCTACCAGGCGCTCATACGTCTTGACAAAGCGCACGTCGATGCGCACCTGCATCAGCTCCTGCAGGACGCCTGGCATATGGTCACAGGTACGCTGCACGAATGTCTGCAAATGCCTCATTTGAGTGGTGGTTTCTATGTCCTTTAAATTTTCGCCGCCCCGTTAAGGGGGGGGGAGGCGTCTGAACATTTAATTTGCATTTTCTGGGGTTTGGCTCCTAAAACTGTAAGATTACATTTTCTTCGGGGACTTGCCAAATGTAAGATTGCATTTTGGACGCTGGTGGACCTATCAGCAAGGTACCTCGCAAATAACCAAGTTGTGGTTTCATGAACTTGTCCCACTTCAAAAGCCTCTGCGCGTGCGCCACATCTGCCCCTCCAGCATCATCAGCTTACAGTTTGCGACCCGCCCACCCTATCAAGCTTCCCAGGAAAATCCTTGAACATGTCTGTCAACTTTTGTTGGGGGGGTGAGAAAAAGTAACTTTCGACGTGCCCACGTGTCAAGTTACATTGACATGTTACCCCCCCCCCCCCCAAAAAAAAAAAAAAAGAAAAAAAGAAGAGGATATACACAACGCGGGGGGGGGGGGTCCCCTTACATTTCTTTTTGTGGGGTTCGGTCCCAAAGGGGGCGGGGATTCTAATTTTGCATCGACGTATCAAACCCTTCCTAGTGTGAAGGGTACCTTCCGCAAGCATACTGCTATATAAGTTTATATAAATGCTTCCGCGGGCCTTCCGCAGGCAAGTTGCTACTCGAAACTGAGGAAGGTAGATTCCGCGAGGGAATTCGTGCGCATGGTTTGATAGTCAACGTGCCTGATCGTGCCTGGCAACAACCACCCAAACGAAATCAAACCACTATGCGCAAATCAGCAACGTCCCTTCCGCGCTGCACTGTGGCGCTACCTTTTTTGTTGATATGTCAACATCTCTACAGTACATGTTTGCTTGAGCAGAAAAAACTGCCTCTCATTTATGGGGCCGACAGCGGGACCCCATTTCTTTTGTTTGCCCCAAAACCGTTGTTCGTTCTTCCTAACTACGCCCTCCCCTGACCTCAGCCCCACCGCGTCCACCTCGTTTGCCGGCGCGGCCCCGCCGCCCGAGCTCATGCTCAGCCCAGCGTCATTTGCTCAAGCCCGCGTTGATTGAATTGTGCTTTTCAGCCTGGTCGACTGGGAGGGGGGTGTTCGCTGCATTTACAATGGCAACAACTTTTGCCAATACTTCTTCCAATAACTTTTTCGTCCAATGCCCATTGAATCCCTGCACCCGGAACACAGCGAAGAGCACCCCAACGCGCGTCGGACGCCCATCCGGGCCGCAACCTAAACTTTAGCCCTAAACCCGAAGCTTTAAACCTAAACCCTCTAAGCCCTCTACACCCTAAACCTAAGCCCAAAACCGAAACCGTAAACCCGAATACTAAACCCAAGCCTCAGCCGTGAACCTAGGCCCAAAACCGAACCCCCAAAAACCCCAAACCGAAACCGAAACACAGCGCTGCTGCAGCTGGATGTGATGATGCCATGTTGTGTTGAGCGGCAGTACTCCCAAGTCAATCTGATGAATCTGCTGTGTCGTGACATGCCTGGACAAGTGAAGCAAGGACCTTAGGCCTGCAGGCAAACAATGGGCGTGGCGCGTACTTATGCGTACTTCCTTTTATAGTTCCAAGGACTGCCAAACCCTCCGCCCCCGAAACTGTTTGTTCTGGATCTTGATGATGTTGGAAACCGCGAGATTGCTAATCAGGGCTACTAGTAGGAGTAGTCATTACGCCAAGTGGCTGAGCTCCACCTTCTTCTCGCCGCCCTTTAAGGTGGGATCGCCTCCTGCGCACTGATTTGTTCAATCGAGCGGTGCCAACTGCGGCCTCCGGTTTGGAGTGACACAACCTACGCGTTGTGGCCCCCGCCTGCTTTCTCTTCCCAGGCAGGGGAGCAGAACCTGAGCGCAAAGCTTGCACTAGGCCAGTGATGGCCAGTGGGCTTTGACGCGTGTAGAACCCAGTCAGTGGGTTGTGATGGATTGGCTTTGGGATTGGCGCTGGGCGGTTGTTGGGGAAGTTTGGGGTTGGTTCAAGATGTTCAGGAATGTTTAAGATGGGTTTCTGAGGTGGTTTCGCGTTCGGGGCTGCTTCAGGCAGGGTTGTAGAAAGAGTTTGGAAAGAGTTTAGGTTTGGATTCAAGGGTCAGGTTTGGGGTTGGATTCAGTGGAGAGCAGAAAGAAGCCACAGAACCCTTTCTGCAATGCAATTTCCCATGGACCCCGATTCCTTGAACCTTTCTGTTTTGGGCAAACTGCAAGGGCCCCACACTGTGGCACTACCACGACGTTTGTTGGCCACCGGTGTTTTTGTCCGAGAAGCCCCTCGGTGGCCTGCCATTGAGCACGGCCTGCAGGCGTCCCCTGGCCTTCCTCGAAGATCTCACAGGAGGCAATAAGCCTGGCCCAAGGCAAACCAGGTTCCAACGTTCCGCAGAAGGCATCCTCGCGAAATCAGCCTAAGCAACAACGAAACAAGCTCAGCTTGAAACACATTCGTACAGAGCCATCCTGCAAGGCTGTTCTGAAAGACTGCGCCATGAGACAGCCGCGTGAGACCGCCTTGTAGGATGGCTCTGTATGGCGGCCTTGTTTGCGAAGCACAGGTCCCTAGCACGGTCTGTGCGGGATTTAGCCGTCCAGGCTGAGGATGGGTTGAATAATGATTGGCTCAATGTGTTTTTAGCTCTTTGTTCACTGATGTGTGGGGTCTGAGTTGTCCAACGGCAATTTGCTTGTTAAGTTGGTTGGATTGCTCTTGTTTGCCAAGTTTGATGATTGCTCAAGCGGTGAGTGGACCATAGGCATTCTGTTTGGTCCTGTTTGATCGGCTATTACAACAGTTGTCGAGGATTGATCTGCTTCCCTCCCATGCCTGGACCCAGTGGAATCGGCGAGCTCCCGGGGCATCAGCATGGGATTCAGCTGCATGTAGAATTCCGTGCCTGAGGGAAACACCCATCCAAGGGCTCACCATACAAACTCCGCCTTTGAATGCCTGTGGCATAGACTTACAAATGACGGCAAAACAAATTTGACAAAATCCACCCCTCTCAGCAGGAAAAATGCCTGGAGTGACTTCGCACTGGCAGTGCTTGCCACCATCTCCAGGAATGATGTCGCCCAGCACGTCCTTAGCACAATTTGTCTGGGTGCCCGCTTCTTCCCACATATGGCTGCAAAGAGCCGTTGAAGCAGGATTCTCCAGACCAACGCACAAAAACAAAAGCTGCCCAAGAGAAACATCCAACAGCCTCGCGTCGATGCTGCACACCACCTTGTGGATGCTTTTGCCCTCCGGCGAACAGCTTTGTATGCGTACAAGCTGACCCGCCACATGGCTGCAACATGACGAAAGTGGCGTGATGACTGCAAGCTGCCGACAAGCTCTTGGCCTTGGGTGGTTCGATCATCTTCCACAGATCGCCGTTGCCCCACTTCACACGCCCACCGCACAAGCATTCTTGCCATTGCCCAGCGCAATAGATCCATGAAGGCTCTACCTGGCAGCCGCGCTCTGTGCTCTTGCTGGTTAACTGTACAATCCACGGGTCAGCCAGTGCCAAGTTGCACAGCTTTAGAGACTCCCCAGTTCGGGCAAGGCATGATGGACATGGCATGCGTGCGCACCTCCCCGACGGTTTCCATGTGGTTTGGTGCTGCCTGGCTGGTTTGCAGGGCACAAATTGCACCAAGGCTCACTGGCAAACTGCCAAGGCGGTCGGCACTATCTGCACCCTGTAAAGAATCCCGCCGTCCTGCTGATCCTCATGCACTTGTGGCTCGGAGACCTGTGGCGATGCTTCCTGACACAGCTGTGAAGGTCATCAGTGTCGATCCCATCAGCCACCAGACATGCTTGAGGAATATATCGAATATACAGTGGCCAACATGAGCCAAGTATTGGCTCAGAATTGCAAGGACTACACAGGAGATTGAAAGAAGCATCAGTTTCAAAACGCAGGGCCCATCCTCTGCAGCATCTTGGGCAGGATGGTCCGAAGGATTCTCCTAACTACCGCATCGTGCCAACTATTCTGGGACGCTTGCGTTTGTTAGAATGTGTACTACAAGCAGGGTGTAGCCATGGCTTGACCCAACCCCTATCTTTCTTCATCTCAAGCGTGAAGCAATTGATAGACATCGAGTTGTCACCAGACCATACAGCCGGCATGGGGCAAGGAAACTTCCATGATGTGAGCTGAAGCTTCCACTTCTGTGCCATGTCGCAGCTCTCCTCCAGTTTGGGCTCCTCAGTCGTCACCTCAGCCTGAATGCAAGCGCAAGTGGCAACTCAGGCCTTTGCTGGAAAGGGCGGTTTTTGGCTAGGGCTTCTCTTGGCATGGCAGTTCAAAGGCTGGAACATGCCTTTCCCACTGTACCACAAGCCGTGACGGACATACCTAGTAGCACAGTCCTTGTGCTTGCGCTTGCCCTTTCCACTGCGCTTCCTGGCATGGGAGAAATACGTGGTGCACGTAGCTCGGAAGCAGAACAATGAAATTCTGAAAAAATGCAACCCTTGATGAACACCTGTTTCTGTGACACCTTTCATAACAAAACCCTTCTACTTGTCAGTACGCAGCACCTTGTTGGGAGGCATTGAGTTGGTGGCCACCCAGCTGCACATATTGCGGCATCTTAGGGCTCTGATTCTCGCAGCTAATGGTACGTTAGTGCGTGTATGCCTCAAGCTTGCATCCCGCCTTGACTTTGGCGCAATGTCGGCCTCTTCATAGCCCTCAGGCGTTGCTTGCACGAATCAATGGCGTGTTTGACTTTGAAAGCTCTTTCCTCGGCGACCTAGGCACAATGAACCCTGACCTTGTGAGGCTTGAGCTGCCCTGCCTGAGGCCAAGTAAGGCTGAAGAGCGCAAGCAGCGCCACCGCTGAAAGAAGGAAAAGGGCCTTCTGCACAAGCCCTGGCACGCAATGTGGCAAGATGTGTCAAGGCCAATGTAAAACCCGTGCAGCCAAGAAAGCAAAGCCTTGTCCAGTCAGCATGCTGAGCCTTTACTTTACTCACTTTGCCAGCTTGCGAATAGGATCAGTCCAAACTTTGAGGCTGTGGATAGCCCTGCCGCTGCTGCCCGAGCACCGTTTTGGTGTCTCTGTTAGCCGACACTGACGTCACCACCAAAACATATTCCTCGCCCCTTCCCAGGCCTGGACCGGGCTTGCCTTTGCGGCTCTTTGCCATGGCTTCATGGACGAAAGTCAGAAGCCTGAAGCCTCTTGCTGGGTAACACCAGCTGAGAGCTATGCAGGCAACTAGTTGTGTTCTTTAGGGCTGAGTGAGGGTGTTGGTCGCTACGCGCTGCGCAACAACACTTGTCCAACAGGCTCCCAACAAACTTGGTATTGAAGGGCCACACGGAGGTGCAAAGCAATCCAGGGGTTGTTGCAGAGGTGGTGATAAATGAAGAGCATGGTGTATTCATGTTGATCGTGTTCCGTGTTCGTGCTGCAGCCGTGCAAACGGGCTGTCAGAGAGCTGTCGGATTGTGCGCGAGTCATTGTTGCGTCCAACAGCCCCAAACAAGGTGCAAGAAAAGCATGGCAGCAAAGCATTGGAAACCAAACAAAGAGCTCGGCAAGCCTGTCGGCTGCTCCTTGGGCTGGCAAGGCTCTCAGTGCTCCTCGGGCAGAGACAGCTCATGTTCGGACAAGTTGGACAGTCGCTTGGGCATTTTTCCACTACCTTCCTCGAAGGACACGTGGAGGGTGAGGGTGTGGCTGATGCAGACGGCAGACGGCAGACAGGAGCAGGCTGGAATAGCAGATTTGCCGACTGCAACGCGCTGACGTCAATATCTAGTCACCTGACTGCCACAATATTCATCGCGAAACGTGATTCGAGGTACAATTCCGCAGACCGGATCGAAAGTCGCAGCTTTTCTGTGCGAAAGTATTACACGCAGTAATCTTCCGGAGGCCCAGCTCAAAAGTCGCAACTGTTCAGTTCCAAAGCACCAAGCGGCACAGGAGAGGACCCCTTGGCCACCCATGGCAGAAAATGGCGGGGAGGTCCATCGACTTTCGTGAAACTGTCGCAGACCCTGCGCCCTAAACTCCACCTGGGAAGCTGTGCCCAACTGGACCCGAAAGCTTCAAAACTCTAACAAGCTGCTTCCTGCTGAGGGTTGCCTTTGCAGCGATGTTTCTTTTGCGGCATGATTCACATTCCACCTTGATTATAGCAAGTCACCATCACGAAGCTTTCGCAAGGGGCAACACTAAGACAAAAGGTCTTCCCCTTCATACCTGAAAACAAGGACCTTTTGGACGACTCTCACATTCGCGTTGCAGCTTTTTGTGCTTGGACTCAGCCATGGATCTTGGAGTGCTGCTTGCTGTGGCACACGCTTCTGTGCAACATGGCGAAGCAACAACGCATAGGCGGGTATAGAACTACGGTCGTACATGGAGGAAAGCATAGGTTTTAGAAGGCACCGTCGGCAACCGCGGTGGCTTTCCTAGCGTAGCTGCAACGTGCTAGACAAAGCCTTCAGATGCACCTAACTATGGGCAGTTCCAATGACACAGGCCCGTCTCTGGCGCATGCAGTACGCAACTTGGAATGCCTGCCAGCACCTGTCTGTGTCTTGATGCTGCATTGGTATGCTGGCAGAAGTAGTTTTGAAATGATCTCGAAAAGGCACATGTGCAGCAAGAACGCAAACCATTTCTGAGCTGTCCTGGTCCGGCCGAAAAGGTCTCGCTGTGGTGTGCCCAGCCTGGCATCAGCGATTGCCGCGGAGTGGCAAGGAGCTCAAGAAACAACTGAACACCCCGCCGCAGGCGGCAACATAACCCTAGGCCGTTTCACAACGTTTCACCCCACGCATCCACAGCGACCATCCGTGAATCGCAAGGTCAAAGAGTCTGCCCTCCACGCTCCTCTGGGAACTGGCATGGACACGGAGAGGACATCTGCTTCCCCAAAGGACCAAGCCAGCTCATCTGCTGCAACGCCCCGACCCACAATCACCTCTTGGCTTGGTGTCTGCTGGGCGTAGCCCAAGGCAAAGGACGAAGCCACCACGACAGGGCTTAACCTTTTGGCTACCTCCTGCGGCAAGCGTGCAGCTGAAGGCTGATGTCCGCACCACACGTTCACCAGCAAAGTTGTCCGCGCGCATCGCCTCTTGCTCTTACTGCGCTGAGACTCTTGGAAGCTGCTGCGAAGCTTGCTGGGCGCAGCATGAAGCAGCTGGCCATCAAAGCAAATGTGCTTTCCAGGCCTAGGGAGGCTCAAGTGGGCTGTGGATATGATTGCGCCCCCAGCCATAACGAGAGCCTCATCGGAGCCCTCCAAGACGACAGTAGCAGAGCTGCCTTCTTCCAAATACGTCACACCTAGGAACGGATGCTGCACCTGGCCCCTTTCCCTGCACTCATAGTCTGCATCCCAGTGCCAGCCCACGTCATCTTCCCCATCAAGCCACAAAGCCCACCATTCTGCTCCAGTGGCATCGTGGAGGCAGAGCCGCTCGCGGTGCCACGGAAAGATCCTGCCAAACACTGCCAATTGCCTGATCACCCACCCGCTCATGGGTTGGCATGAAGAACGTTTATCGGTATATCTACAACATTGTCCAAAAAGTAAAAAGGCAAATCATGAGGCACCATAATGTGCTTCAAAGGGTCTCGCCCACCAACTGCTCAAGAGCACATTGTGGACTGGAGCCAGCTGCAGGCCAGTAAGTTGTCCCAGCACTTTCCGTGTCCTCCGTCTCAACGGCGCGAGCAGTGAAAACGCGGCGGCAATCTGCCACCAAGTCTGCTCCTTTGCTCCATCACATGCAGCGTGTGACACCGCATTTGCCAAAGACGCTCTCAGCCAAGCCTGGAGCCAAGCGCGCAGTATTCTAAGCACTCCCGAGTCCCCCTCTGCTCCGCTCGCTGCAAAAACTCAAGCGTTGAGCGAAGGTTTCGAAGGGAGCCAGCTACCCACGTGGGGTGTGCATGGCAACGGCAAGGGTGCGCAAGCCGTTGCTGTTCGAAGAAAGATGAATAAAGCTTGCTGAGCTCGGTTGCCTCCCGATTGCCTTTGACCGCAAATGTACACACTACGTTGCCTTGTGCTTGAGCTTGCCTGCTGCAAAATACAGCTCTGGAGATGCTGAAAAATCACATATCCTGCTCGCATGCCTTCGCGCAATAGGGCCCCGAACCAACTGTGTCAAGACTAACCGGATCTAGCTGCACCTCCCCATTCTTTCCGGGCAAACGCTCAAACATGTACCGGGCGCATCCGCGAGCCTGAGGCGGCAAGAGCCACGCGCTGCCTTCACCTGTCGAGTGGATGCGGATGGGTTGCTTCAGCGCTGGGGAAAGTTCCACCTAAACTTGTTGAAGCAGGGGCATATACATCCACACACACATGGAACTACGGATTTATGAAAAATTGTCAACTTGCAATCAGCAAATGGGGAGGTACATAAATGCGTTGAAAAGACCATCCCCGACCTGAACAGGAAATAGCTATGATACGTATTTGCTGGGTGGGAAAACAAATATGGCTGCCTGCCACAGGGTAGGCGGCAAAAAACATGTCACGCTGTGCACCCAGCCCTGGCATTCAAACATTGTACAAACACGCTGGTTTGTTTGCGAGGAGGTGCAGGTTGCTTCTTGCCCCGTGGGACAAATCACTACTAAATACGAAGCCTGCAGAATTGAGGCCCTAACCGAAACAGACCCTAAAACGCATTATCAAGGGATTGGCACAGGGAAACCTTAAGGCATGACAAAAAGCTTATGGGCAGGGATTCTGCCAAAAAATACGACCTGGTGCAGTCCTTAGCATAGCAACACGAATGAATACAAAATCAAAACACAAATACGAATCCAAACCGGAATCAATACTATTAGCCATCAACATTTGGTTGAGGCCCAACACAGCCACATTCTAAGTAGCACACACCCTTTACAACTTTATCGCAAGAGCCATCAAAGCAGTACTTAGGACATCTACGCAGGAAGCAAAACAAACCACTTAACCGATAGAGACTTGAACGAGGAGTCAGCAAACATTAAGCAATACTGAACAGCACTACACCAATTCGCTTGTAGTGATACCAACCAAATATCAAATTGGTAGGATGTAGTACTAAGCAACACTAGGCCAACACCAAATCTATAGTAGCCTGGGCAGTGAGCGCAAAGGAATACAAAACCAATACTAGATATCGGACATATTGAACGACTGAATGCTACCTGAGCAAACCCGACTGGTTATTGTAGGTTTTCCCTTTGACCCGCCGATTGGTTGCCCGCACTTTTGTCTCACCCACCGCTCAGTTTCGGCCCAGGTGTCCATATCCACCCGCAAGGCCACTTGGGGAAACATACCTGGGACAAAGTTGGACACACTGCCTCCAGATTTTGCCAAAACGTGCAACGTGGAAGCTATGGCTTGCTGTTTGTTTTGCCGAGGAGCCGCGAAACTGGCAGCAAACGGCAAGGCAAGAAATGCATAGCGTATGGCTGGCATAAAGGCGAACGCAGCCTGCCGTGTCAGCATCCTGCAACTGAGAAGCCAGCTTTGAATAGGACGCGCTGGGTTGCCTCTACTGAAATGAAGTTTTGAATCTGAGGGCCATGGCCCAAGACTCTGCATACGCATCTTTTGTGCCACATGGCTCAACCAGTTGCAATCCTTCAATCACATGTCTTCACCCTCTGCCTGAGCGTGCCTGGCGGCGTGCCTGGTGTGCTTTTCAAGTCGCCAATGTCATGAAAGCGAACATTTCATGGCCAAGTCTGCGCCCCATGTCCTTCCCCAGAATCGCAGCCACGGTCAGCAAAGCCTTTCGTTCAGCATGTTGCGACCTCAGCTGTGGTCAGCAAATGGGCATCCCCAATCACTGGACAGTAGCGGCTGAGTTCACTAAAGTGACATACTCAAAATTGCCCTCTAGATGGATTAAAGTTTAAAAGGGAAGACCCAAAAGTGGACCCAAACACCTGACAGGGCAATTGCCTACACTCGATGCGTGTGCGGCACCGGTCATGCTCGCGCAGCACAGGAACCAACCATTGCTCCAGGTAGGCGGGCGGATCCTGAGCGGCTTGTCAGATATTAGTCGAATATTTTATGTTTGTCAAGGCAGGCTAATTACTATACAAACAAGGCGCCAATCGCCTCTTCAGAGTTTCTTGGCAGCCACATTGGCATATATCGAAGCATGCTCT